GTATATATATGGCTTGGACTTCCAACCTCGAGGTCGGGGGTTCGCAACTCTAGCTGTGAAAATCGCTTGTGTCCTTTATCTACGGTTGCCTGTCTCCACCCAGGAGTATAAGTGGGTCTACCTGGTAGTTTCCAACACGGAATAATAATTATATATATTATATATATATATATGTATATATATATATATATATTTATTTTATTTTTCAAGATTTTCAAGAGACATAAGAGAGACATTATAATTGGGACAAATATGACTAAGAAACCTAATAAACTTATTCTAAACATTAGAAATACGCTGAGCTTGTGTAATATCACTAACTACTCCATTATGCAATAACAGATGTAGTGGAAATAGGCGTAAATTGTGATCTTGTAAATGTGTACCTATTTTGGCATTGCAGATGTAGGCAAAACTGAAAGCAGCTTCACACCAGAGACAGTTGCAGCTTTATGGGCAGGCTTCTTTGGTGGATTAGTCGGAGTGTTTGGGATAGGTATGCTGTTTTACCAACTTCGGATTAGGAAGTACGAAGAGTACAAGCGAAGGAATGATGAAATTGCTGTTATGCCTCCAGTTGGAGTTACGTTCCCAAATTCGTTAGGTTGCTGTGGACGATAATACCATCTTTTGGAGATCCTGTTTCTTAAAGTTTAACTCAATTTCTTTTCATTCAGATATTTTAATTTTTGCCTTTGCAATCATGAAGTTTGTGCCTGACCTATTACACAGAATTTTACATAGACTAGAATGAAAGAGAGTTTATCAAATTATGGGAAAAAAATCGTAAAAGTTATAAGGAATTACCATACTTAGGAAGAGATATAAAATGCTGTTGCCTAGGCCAGGCCTTTGTGACCCTAAACAGCATACAGTATCATAGGAACGCTTCACCCTAGTTCTGTATCGCCATAAAAATATTACAAACTGTACCAATGGCCGTATTCGACTGGATCTTTCTTCCTTAAACCACGACTGCCTGCGCAGTGGTAACCGAAGACAACCAGGCAAATGTAAAAGTGGTAAATACCATAGTTAGATGGTAAATACTCAACAAAACAAAATGACTGCATAGTTTACCGCTATACACGCTAGCGTAGTTAAGGTTATTTCATGAAATTTTATATAAATTATGTTAACGCTAAACTGACAAATTAGACATATTTGTTTTGGTGAGGTGGATAACTTATTGCAAATTTAATTTCCGTTGTCAACAAAGTAATGAAAGTAATACTCAACAAAAAAAAATCGTTGTCAACGAAAAGAACCAGTCGAAAACGGAAATTGTCTTATGCAGAATTGTGTTCTTTACCCCATTAAGAATGTAAAGTGTCTTAATACGCTTACCATGTTTTGTTTTGCCTATTTTAATTTACTCATTATCATCGACGTTGGTGGCGTATCTTCGTCTTATTGCTTCACTATATTTATTTGCATGCTACCTAATTTATTGTTTAATAAATGTATTGATTAATTTACAGTTAGTATGTAAAATGTATTGCAATGAAATCTTAAGTTAATTTGGGATGCTTTATTTAAATTGTATATAAAGGGTTTATGAATACAAATTGTGTATTTGGTTGTTTGCCGTCACCATGCAATTTTGGTAAAATATTATTTTTGTGAATGCCATTGTCCAATGTAAATAAATCTCAATTTGGGAATATTTTTACTACTTGCCTCTTGTACTTTTTATACATCATTTGTGATTCATCTGTTTAATATTAAGAAACCATTATACTAAATTCATATTTACCACATGCAATTGCATCGTGTAGGAAACTGTTGTATGCCTATGAACAGGCCTTTAAACCTTAAGACACGGCGCAGAGGCTTATTAATAACAGCAAAGTGCTGTATTTGATGGGGAACCCTTACTGAAGCTGCGTACACGGGTATGGGCCTACATAGAGCATTGAAAAGGCAATGGAGGATTTTGGGTTCATTATAAGCAACGACGCGTTTAATGAAACTGAGAATTTGAAGAGATTTAATGGAGACAGTGAAAACGTGTGATGACCATGAGAGAAAGTTATGCCAAGATATTTGTGAGAAGATGTGCAAGACAGAGGATCTTAGTCAATAGCATACCTTATTTATTATAAGGAATGAAGTTTCTTTTACGAGTATTTTGAAGGACTTGCACTTATTAGAGTTTATTTTACATGCACTGTGCCATGCATTAATGTCAACACACACAAAAAAATTAATGTAGGCCTTTATGTCGTAATATCAGGTGGTAGCAAAATCCAGTGAAAAAAAAAATGTATTTACTACATGCTCGTTTATTTCTGTTGTGAATTGATTTGAGGAGGGTGTGGACCCGATGGAGATAACAATGGGTAAGTACACAACTTTAACGATAAATATTATATTTAACATAGCAATATTACAAAGCCATATGCCTAAATATATGAATATAAATATTATGTATATTTGTCAGATATTAATTTTCAAGTTACGTGCGTTGTTGGGTCAGGCCTCACTGCTGTTCTTGTTCTTGTTACCAAAACTTTAAAAGCATGCAGAGTCGCCAGTTTTGAACGGACGTGCAGAAATGTTTGTACATATAAACTAGAGGTGATTTCCAACAAACTTTCATCGCCTTTTTTCCCCCCCAAAAAAATGGAACCCCGATTCGCCCCTACTTTATTTCTGAAACTATCTGAAAACGTTGTAGCGCCACCATTCCCGAAAATCACTGATCCTCCCCTGAGTGGTTGTTGCAGGCCCATATCGTACGGATCTATATTATTGTTTACGTCAGTTGCCTATCATATTCATTATCATATATTAATATCCGTTTCTACATTAATACAAATGCATGCCTAAAATACTCAACATTTACATTATTAAATTCGCATATACAATAAAAACGGGATCACTTAGACAGTTAGACAGTTACATCATCCGTAAACAAATTCCTAATTTTGATTGGATGTTATTGTTTTAATCCAACCGTGCATAAAATAGCATCCAATCAGAGTTAAACTTCCTATTTTGAATACACCAGTATAAAAGATGTTGTTTCTTCGTCCGTTTCGTCTATTCTCCTAGTGTGAGCAGCGGAGGAGGGTGTGGATAGAGAGAGACACAGCAGGTGAGTACCAGAGTAAAATGTAATAGGCCTAATACTCTAATTATGATAAATAAATAATAAAATGTACCATTGGAAGTTACACTCTCACATGACGGGTCGAAAATCACGGCTTTGTATTGCGAAGTTGTTACTATCTCTTAGGCCTAGTTTAAGAACGCTGAAGTAAAAAGTCAATATAGCGACACGCTACTATGCATTTATTAGCTGGCCTACCGTGACATATAGCACAAACCCTATGTTAGGGTCTGTGCTTATACATTACTTATACATTACTTCACTACCATATTACCATCCATCCATGAGTGTTATCAATTTTAACTCCTGCAATTAGTCACCTAATGTTGCTCGTTTTGTATTGCAGGTCTTACAAGTGGACGCCCTTTAAACTGACGTCCATAGGCACAGTCAGGCAATTTCTGGCGCCAACACTGCAAATAAGTGTTATAGGCCTATTGTGGAGTTTTTGATCACAAGTTATTTGACTTTTGGCATCTATATTTAATCATCCTCTATCTTGTTTCATTTCATTGCATTTTATTTTCATTTCATTTATCCGAATACAACATCTACCTTATTCTCTTAATATGCACATAATCAGCACACCGATAGAATATTATTATTTCGTAAGTTTCTTTTATTACTGTTATTTTATTCATAATATTTTTTATTAATATTATTGTAATGTTTATTTTTGTATTTTTTATATGAGGCCTTTCTTTTATTTTTATTAATTTTTATTACTATTATTTTATTATTGTTATTGCGTTAGGAATCACGTAAATTTCGTAGACGCCATTAGTCAAATTTCAATAAATAAATATAAAAAAACAGTTTAAATTTTATACTTGCCAACTGGAGTCTTTCTACGTTTGCACCATTTTATCCTCCTTGACGTGCTGATTTGATGAACGCCATCGCGGCTTCGAGCATCCAAGCATCAATCATAGTAAGAACTAACATGTGCTGAAACCAATAAGCTATTATATAGATACCTATATAGTACCTTTTTGGTTAAAATGTGATGTTTCTTCCATACTAACACACAGGGTTAGACATTAGGCTTTGCCTTTTGAGAGCAACGAAGCTAATAATTAACAGATATCCTAATACCGTATAGACACTTTTAGAGATTTTATATTGAAAACTAGGTTAATGGTTATCGTATGATACAGAATTGCAAAAGATGAACCATGGATAATCTGACAAGAACATTAGATCATATCCAGCAACATTTGGACATATCATTATTTATCAGATAAGCAGCATCAATTCGAATATTTATGAATATGTATGTATATGCAAATTCAACTAACACTTAAGCAAACAGTTGTTGTTGTTGTTCAATTATGTTGATTATATGCAAATTTGACGGAACCGCAGGTAAGTTACTAACACAGCAAGACATCGCCTCGAGCACCCAAGCATCAAACCAAGTAAGAGAACTAATCAATATAGGATTGTTTGTGTAGTCAAAACAATCATACTAATATCGTATTAACCCATTACCCATCTTGTAAACCACTTAATTTAAATCATGGTATTTTTTATTATTTTATTTTAGTATGAAAAACCTGAGCACACAAGTGCTGTGCTGCTGGCGATGAGATAAAACGATGATAGGTAAGGAACGCAAGCCGTGCAAAAAACGATTGTTGTGCCCACCAATCGTTGGACTTTATTTGTGCCGATAGTGGATTGTATTTGATAATGGTAGCTGGTGTTGCCTCAGCAAGTCTTCAGTTGTATCCCTGTGAAATTGTTGCAATAAATGTGTACAGCTGTACAAACAAGCTTGTGTTGACTCTTTTTCTTTGTATCTGTGTCTCTTTCTAATCACTTTAATGGTCAGCCCTCTATACCAAACATTGTATCCCTATGAATTTGTTTCAATAAATTTGTGCATCAAAACATACGTGTTTGACTTTCTTTGTCTTGTAAAACGATAGTAAATGAAATACATTTACCATTGTTGAACTTTAGTTTATGTAAATAAAAAATTAAAAATACATGACTCCTCTGTGTAGCTTAACAATAATGCATTAATATTTTTACAGATGCATGAATGCAATGTTTATATCTAATAGTATGTTTTTCCTTTCAGAAATATTAACTTGTCCACAGACAGTATTAAGGCGACAAATACCATGTGTATCAAGGTATTTGTCGCCTATGCATGTGTGCGGAATAAATAAATATATTCTTTCAATAATTATTTTATAACATTAAAGTTTATTTCATTTCAGAAAAAAATCTGGTGATCTTGATATTGATGCTTGCGGAAATATTTTAACATACTGAACATACATACTGGCTGGTGGTGATACTTCTGCCGACGGATAATTATCGACCTGAAATGAAAAAATAAATTAATGACTGTAACGATGGTGATGGTGATGATGATGATGATAGCGATGACTATAGTAATGATTAATTACATGATTTGTGACTATGACGACAGAGTTGACAACTCATACAAAGACCTGCTGTAATAGGCAGAAAATACCGATGATGAACGATAACGAAATGGTGTACCTAAACTTACAATGGTAAGTTTTTTAAGATGATGTCTGAACGTGTGAAAGTGTCTAAAGTGACTTGGTTGAGGTAAAGTGAGTGAAATGAACCTCTGGGTCTATAATACGCTATGCATACATCTATACATTTGTGCTTTCATTTCAGAAAAATCAGTTTTTGATAATGCTTCCAAATAAACCACATCAATTTGCTATGTAAACTCGTGTTTCTTCTGGTGAACAACATTAATATCGACATAAAGTGAGTACGATGGCAGCTGTGAGGATGATGTTGATGATACTGATGATAAAGATGGTTGAAATGGTAGACCTGTATTTGCAAAGGTAAGTTTGAATGTTTGGGGTTTGTGAAATTTTCTACTAATATTTTTAATCATTATTATAGTTTCTGTATTACCAATTTTGTTTTATTTATCATTCTCATGAAATGTTTTTTTTTTCTAGTTATCTTGTACTTTAATTAATTGCCATCTATGCATGTGTGCCGAATAAGTAAGTATATTCCTTATGTTTGTCTACTCCTTAAGATGCCCTTTCGACACATGTTTCATAACATTTAATTTCATTCATTTCAGAATAAGAAGCCTCGTGATTTTGATAACGATGCTTGCGAAATATGCTATGTACATACTGATTGGCTGTTGGTGGTGGTTCTTCTGCCGATGGATAATGTATCAACTTGAAATGAAAAAAATGACAATGATAATGATGATTGTGATGATGATTATGATAGCGATATATGCTATGCAGACTCATTTATATTGACATGTATTGAACATTGAACAAATAACGACGATGACAATAACATGACAAATGATTAATTGGTTTTTGACTCTTCACTTTGCTAATGTTCCTATCATGACCCAAAATATGGACTGTAAAGTTTGGGTGATTCCTACCATCTTGGTGGGTTTGAAAAATGATGTGAAAAGAACCTAATGCTATTAGGCTATGCATAAATCTATACTTTATGTTTCAGAAAAAAAAAGACTTTGATGATGCGTGTGAATTTCCGCATAGAACACAACAACTTGCTAAGTAGACTCGTGCTTTTTCTTATGATGGAAAACTATGGACATAAAAGTGAGGACGATGATAACGATGATGCGGATAATGAGGATGAAATATCTTGTACTTTATGAATTGCTACCGATGCATGTGCGCAGAATAAATAGGTATATTCCTTATGTTTGGCTACTCCTTGGGATGCCCCTTTAATACATATTTTATAACTTTAACTTTATTTCATTTCAGAATAAAAAGCCTGGTGATTTCGGTAATGATGCTTGCGGAGGTAGGCTACTGGTCGTGATGGTGGTGGTGGTGCCTTTGCCAATGGATAATATATCGACTTGAAATGGAGGAAATGGACAGTGACGATGATGATAATGATGAGTGGTGATGATGATGAATACTGTACTACGATATATGCTATGCAGACTCGTTCATATCGACATGAATTGAACATTTAATGAATAGCCTTAACGACGATTACGGTAAAGAGTATGTTGTTGCTGATAAAGATGGCGATAGATGTTAATACGATAACGGCAATGATGATCACTTACTTGATTAATTGGAGGCTCTTTACTTTCAGATTAAAAAGCCTGGTGATTTTGACAATGATGCTTGCGGAAATAGGCTACGTACATACGGATTGGCTGGTGGTGGTGGTGCTTCTGCCAATGGATAGTGTATCGACTTGAAATAAAGGAAATAGAGATGTTAATACGATAACGACAATGGTGATTAATTGGTATTAGACTCTTTACTTTGCTAATGTTCGCATCATAGTTCAAAGTTTGGGAGGTTCCTGCAGTAAGTTTTAGTGAGTTGTGATTGAAGCTAATTAAGAGACTTTGCTATTACAAAATAATAAAATGACCATGATGGTGATGACTATGACCATGATGGTGATGACTATGACAGCAATGACTTAGTGGCGATTAACAATAATGAAATAATGTATCAAAACTTGCTAAGGTAAGTTTTAAGATCATGTTTGAGCTTTCAAACCAGCTTTGTGGGGTTGTGAAATGATGTGAAATGAACCTAGAGCTATTAGGCTGTGCATAAACGCATGAAATTATTTTTTCATTTCAGAAAAAAAAAATATTTTGAAGATGTGTGTGAATTTCCGCATAGATCGCAACACTTTGCTATGTAGACTCGTGCTTCCTCTGATTAAAAACTATCAACATAAAAGTAAGGACGATGACAAGTTACCTTTACTTTAATAAATTGCCACCTAAGCAATTAGTGTGCGGAATAAATAGGTATATTCCTTATGTTTTTCTACTGCTTGGGATGCCCCTTTAACACATATTTTTTTTATAACATTTAACTTTATTTCATTTCAGAATAAAAAGCATGTTGATTTTGATAATAATGCTTCCAGAAATATGCTACGTACGTACTGATTGGCTGGTGGTGTAAAATTTAAATGAAAAAAACGATGACAATGATGATAGCGATGTAATGCGGACTCGTTCTTATTGAACATTCAACGAATAATGACGATGATGATGATATTGATAACGAGGATGTTTTTGCTGTTACGAATGGCGATATAGATGATGCTAATATAAGGAAGATGATTATTGCTTGATTACTTGGTATTAGACTGTTGAAGCTTTATTTTGCTTATGATCTTATCATGGCACAAACTATGACTGTAAACTGTAAACTGTGAACCTCAGTGGGTTGTACTTTGTACAACAAAATAAAATGACAGATGACGGCAATGACTATATAGACAGCGATCGATGACTTTAGTGACGATTAACGATGATGAAATAGTGTACCTGAACAAATTTTGAGATGATGTTTGAATGCCTGAAAGTTAGGCTTGTTTTTTCAAAACGGCTTGGTGGGGTTGTGAAATGAATATAGGGCTAATACTGTATGTACATACATTTTATAACATTAAGGTTTTTTCATTTCAGACTAAATCACGTCAATGTGCTTCTTCTGATGGTGAATATCATGATAATATGAGGTGATAACTATAACGAAGATCATGTTATATAGGCCTAATGACAACGTTGGTTATGATGAAATGGTACCGTAGACCTGTACTTGGAAAGGTAAGTTTGAATTCCTGGGGTTTCTGAAATTAACTTATGGATGGACTATTGGTTAGCGTACTTGACGCGACTACTGTGTGTGGTTGAAATTGTGTCGGTAACTGGAATTTTGTAAAATATTTACATGGGCGAGTCCAGGATATTTCTACTGCAACAAGAGGGCGATTCAAGACCAACCTATTGATCTTGCCTACTATTCTGGGGGTCCAGGCGCCATTATGTTAATCTAAATGATTTCAAACTTTATTAGGATTTGTTGTCTGTCCAGAGGCGGGATCAGCACCCATTTTGCTAATGTCACTGTATTCATACAAGTTCAATTTCTTAATTGCTTACATAAGTGGTTGATATGCAAAGCCTAATACTTGTGAACTGTCGACTCAAACCTGACTGAAACTGCTGTGTGCGATCGAGTTAAATGAAATAGCTGTGGACATTGATGATAATAAGGTGAGTTTCAATGTTGCTTTTTTTTTAATTGCGCCTTTGTTTATGCATTCTTTTCCAAATGATGGGGATGCACCTCATTGTGTAATGAACAATGCAGTGACGTATCCAGTGATTTGAAATAAAGTGGGGTGGGCAGGAAGGGGCTTTCACAGATGGAGGTTCTATAATAATCCTCGGCCCCATCTTGGTTGGGGCGGAGGTAAGAAAATTTATGATTATGGTTGGCCGAAAATGGCACTCACGGACTTTTAAAAAAAATTAAATATATATAATATTTTTCATCTCCATTTATTTAATTTTGAAAAATGTTGGGGTGAGGATCGGAGTCCGGGCCGGCTGGGCTTCCCCTGAATCCTCCACATCAATGCTCTTGTGGATGAGCAAACTGGTTGGAAGAAGAAAATATATGTAATGATAATTGTTGTTAATTTTCAATTCTTATCTGTATAGTACCAACTAATTGGGTTATTAGATCGGACTACATCTAAGTTGTATTTCTTTATTTCATTTCTTTAGGCACAAGCGTCAAGGATATGCCAAACATCCTCATGAACACCAATCATGTTCACTATGAATCCTTCTTTTCAAAATAACGTTGAATGTTTTACTATATTTTCGTTTGGAACCGTGGTACCAGCACCCAGCAAGCGAATTTGTCTGGTTCAGGATAATATGAGATGTATTGAGCCAATTTGGTCGATTTAATTTAGAGCTGTCGAGTATGTTTGCAAGGAACATCCTCCTCGGACAATAGGTTTCTATAAAATCGGACAGTTGGTCTGAATTGTACTTGAATTAATCATTTACCTGGTATTGGTAAACTTGGGACTAAGATATATATGTTTAGGCCTACTTGTCATTGCAGTTGGTAACTAAATATAAAAAATGGGCGATATAATAATATTATTAATAATAATTTTTAAAAAATACGCCTACAATTTAATTTAACATTACAATATTCATCAATACAATATTGCTGCTTTCTCATTTTGCATTTTTTGTCATTGTACATGTTGGTGGTGTTTGTTTTGTACATTACGCTTTCATCATTTCATTTAACCCTAACTAATCCACCCTCTCTCATATCTTACTCAGGTTAGCCTATAGGTTGTAATTAAGTCAGGTTAGCTTAGTAGATAGGTCTTTTGCTTAAGGTGTAGACTAAGTACAGTATTAGCTAGGTTTAAAATATAGTTTTTCCTTCCTAAATGAGAGAGGAATGGGCTATACATTTAAGCTCCATTACTTCATTATCAATTCATAACTAATATTGTATCATTGTGTATCAGGCCATTGTATTTCCTCCATGATCAGGCATTGCTTCACATTACGGACGTTTTACAAATAATATTGAACAATAAAAGCTACAATATAAAATAATGAGACAAATAGTTAACAACTGCAATGACAAGTGATAAAATAATTTCTTGTAATAAATGTAACTTTATTATCATTTGATATATATTAAATTGTGGTAATGTTGATGTTGATGCAAATAAAGATTATTAATAAGGCAGGAATTACGCTTTAATTGTATTTATTTAGTCATAAGCATATATATAAATACACTTGTATAATGAGGGATTGTCGTGAAGAGTGTGAGACGATTAGTGTGACAGGAATTTTAAAATGTATAAGTATATACTGATTCTCGATATGCAGAAGTTGGACGCTTGGAGATGATCTTTAATTGGAGGGGTTTTATACACTACATAGGCCTACAATATAATTAAAAATAATTAATTATTAATTAATTATAATGATAATTTATACAAGTACAAATATATTATATCTAGGAAATTATGAAAACTATATTATTAACAGGAAAAGATGTCACTAAATTTGCAATAATTTCTTTAATTGTGTAATCAAAACTATTAAATTTCTTGAATACATTGTATTTAACATGCACATACTTTTCTGAAAATTTTCTCAATCAATTACACCATAATTCATTGCATTATTTTGGGTTACATGTACCTTTAAACTGGATATTGACCCAATAACGTTTGCGGTAGGTCCAGAATTATCCTCCTGGAATATGAAAATCTGCATACAGTGTAAGCTCCTGAAATCTCGTATTGCGCCCAGGTTTGTAGGAAGAGAATAAAACACAAGACAAAATGAAAATACACAAGGAAACAAAGAACGATTTTAACTAATATAGTCGTCGTCCTTAGCGAGAAAGTTGTTTATTAAACAAATCTGATGCGCAGCTTATCAGCTGATACTAAGTATTGAAATCTTACAAAAATACGCTAGTTACAACTGAACTTGTTAAAACACCCTAGGCCTACTTGTAAATCAGACGCCTACCATGGTTTGGAGTCAAGATAGCCGCGAATTGCACTCTTAGACTTAATTTTAATATAATGTTTTTTCTTAAGCCATTTGAGGGGAGACCATGGCTGACTGGGCCCCTTGAACCCGCCACTGATCTGTTATTATATACTATAGCACTATTTCATGAAGACAACATGGTAAACATTGCAAGCATAATAATATATACAGAGCTATACCTGTCTCTTATACACATCTAGATGTGTATACATATATATATATATATATATATATATATATGTGTGTGTGTGTGTATATATATGTATGTATATGTACTGTATGTCATTTATTATTAGCATTAATTAGTCACTCCTATCAGTATCATGATATTTAGATAATCAGTCTCTATGTGAAGCCCAGTAGGCCAAATACAAAAGATTACTATTCTCGAGTATAATAATGAACATTGCTACATCTATAACTATAATCTTAGAAAGACCTTTGCAAACCCTTTTAAATAAAGAACAACTGCAAGCCAATAATTTTGCTTGTAATGTTGACACAAGCTTAAAGAATAATATAATATAAAAACCGGATTGTAGAGCTCGTGCAAATATGTTGTGATAGATAATAGACATTCCTTGTTGTTGGTCGTGTATTTTTAAACTGGTCTCTTTATTATCTATTCTGTGTTTTTAATGAACATACGTATTTGTATTGCGTTCACTTACCTATACTTAATATTACTCGGCGGACCAACTTAATTTGCAAATTCGTGTTAATATATAAAATTGTTATTTTACGTTACCTTGATTAACATGAATAGGGAAAATGTTCTTAATGTGTAAGACTCATATAAGGATAGGCGGTAAATAGTAACAAACATTTGGTCCTTACTCAATATGGAAGTAGCTCTAAGAAAAACAACTCTATTGGTTGCGTACAGTAGTCAGTGACCTAATGAATCTTCACATGCCACATAAAACTGTAGGCCTACACATAATTTTATATCACGTGGTACAATAAGACCATCCAATCAAATAGTGTGTGTCTAGTTTTTTGCGATGTTTTTGGGCATATGTTAGTGGAATTAGCGCCGAGGTTAAGTACCCCGAGGTTAAGTGCGTATTGTATATTGTCATATATATGAATTGCAATGAATATTCAACGATTAGAAGAAGTTTACTTATCTTGTCTCCGAATACCTTTTACAACATAAAATTTCAATCTCCTTGACGATCGACCGTTGTAAACAACGCCGCCGTGACTGGAAAGACGGACATGCTGGCCTTCGTGTATACACCAATGCTTAAAATGGTAAATTTTCAATGTACTGTAAATTTACATTTTATTTATTTTGCTTTTATATTCATATTAAGAGATTACTAAATGTTCCAGTTTACTTGGTGTTTATTGGCTCGAACGCATTTAAGTAATTATACGCTTATATGTTTATTTATTTATTTATCTTTTATTAAGTCCTATTATACTTTTATTATTTTTTTAATATTATTTTCTTTTTAACTGGTTGTCATGACTTGAAGTTTGTTTTACAAACTTACTTTGGCCTCCTACCTCACAGTTTTTTCTCCGACTTTTGTTTTGAACATCTAATTGTAATGTCTACCTACAAACTAATTTATGTTTTATTTATGTAAAATCAATAAAACAAAAACAAACAAATGCTATGTAGGCTTAAAGTATACTGTTTTAATGTTCACAATGATAGCTAATTCAAAATATGATTCTTTTCGCAGTTCATGTTTCCTATGGGCAATGAGGCATAACGTAACGTCAGATAATAGCAGTTATGGGGATTTTCAATAGGCCTATCACTCAATTTTCTACTTGTTAAAGTGTGATTTACGTAGGCTTACGATTCTAATTGTATTTTTGTATACTCTTGTTTTCTTGAAGAGGATCCTGTTGCTTTTCTTGACTTTTACCCTTATTCGAGCAGATAGCGAAGTTATCAGCAACACCGATATATACGTAGGCTCCTACATACCACCATTCAGACCTACTTTCGAATCTTTACTAACATGTCTTGGGTAAGATTTCTATTCCAAATTTGACTTCAAATAAGTTTTCATTTTATTCTAAATAACAACAATATAACACGAGATAATATGTAAATGAGATGGCCAATGACCTACTCATTTCTTGCTTAATGACACAACTTTAGCGCAATTATACATATACTTTTCTCAGTGGCGTTGTAGGCCTAACATTATTATCTGATTAATAAATGTTCTATTTTACCTCGTCCATGTTCCTTTTCGCGGTCATTGAAAACCAGCTTTTTGAGAAGGCCTATATCTTCATGTCTTGTCGTATAATTGAAATGAGGGCGTCTTACATGTTCCACGTGAGTCAGATAATGTTAATTCCATCTCTGAAAAGATGTTTAGAAAATAGGTTTACTATATCTATAAACATACTACCTTAACAATACACAATACACAGTTGTTCTTTTTACAAAGAAAGTTAAATACAGTGTTCGAATAAATGGTGTCCTATAAATAGATACATTGTGTAATAAAGTGCATCCGACGGGGTACGAACCTGCGACCCCTAGCTGTCAAGGCGAGCGTCATAACCATTAGACCACTGAGGCTTCATGGTTGAACAGATTCTAATAACCTTCAGATACACTCCATTACACAAAGGGATACGGCTGGAAATAAATAGTAGCATATAATATAAATCAAGATAGCCGTCAACATTGATAAATAATATATAACTCATCAAAGAAAGGTAAATACAGTGTTCGAATAAAGGACACAATGTTACATCTTCTAGCATAGCTCTCCAAGAATGTTGTCTTATAAATAAATTTATATTATATATATATATATTTATTTTATTATTATATATATTTATTTGTATTATACCTGTCTCTTATACACATCTAGATGTGTATAAGAGACAGCCATGAAAGTCCAATTTAATTTGACTAAAGGTACTTATTTTTTACAAAGCTTTGTTTGGGAAAATACATACATTTTTCCTGAAGATTATATGTTAATTTCCGTTAAATGCTCGACCTAAATCTTCAAGATGCACTTAAAAACAATCAAACTAAGTTGAGTGTAACAATACAAATCCGATATATTTGAAGTTGTTAAAGGAAATCTTGATCCAGAAACAGTAAATATTCTTATTATTTTATTTAGTTCTATTTTACTGTCAAAATTCTGAACAATAAAATGTAAAATTACAGTTATGGAAGGGTTCTGTAGGATAGGTACGCATTTTGTAACTTGAAGCACAGTGGCGCATTGGTCCTGACCCCGTCCTGGTAACGCTACTCCTCCCCTCCGCTTTTGCTAATAGTCCCATACAACTTGCGGTCGTCTGTCAATTTGGAGTTTTAAAATGTCGTCGAAAACACACTTATCTCATCAAACTACAAAACTTCTTCCTTTTACCCTATCTAAGGTGTTAACCGGTCTATAATAACAATAATAAATTGAAAGAATTTGTATAGCGCCTGTTAGAAAAAATTATCTGTCACTGGCGCTTAAAGATAAAAGAGATAGGTCTTGAATGCATTAGTATCAGAAGTTGATCTAAGATTAAGTGGAAGAGGTCTTTGAAGTACCTTGTTTTAAAATTCTCTTCCAGACCCCGGTTGGCTATAGTTTCTGAGGCCACTACCAGCCAAACATTTGTCAGAATATGATGAATATCTTGGGCTCTGTCACAAAAATATGCCGATTTTTTTACACAATTAAAAGTCAGAACAGAGTATCTACAGATAAATAGTAAACAAGATTTCATTAGCTTTACATTATTACATTTTTAAATAACTATAATAACAACGCCCACCGTTAACCTTCTAGAATTAGGTCTAGATTGATATTAAAATGATTAACTTTGTGTTTTAAGACAACGCCCACCGTCAATCTTTTAGAATTAGATTGATTTTTAACTAATTAACTGTGTGTTTTAAAGGGGTAGTTCACATTGACAGCCGTTCTTCTTTGCACAAAACTTGTTCCATGTTTTATATTTTCTAACAGACCATTTTATATGACTGAAGACTTTATTAAAGATGTTAAAAAGCGATACAGTTGTATTTACGAAGAGGAACCGTTTGAAAGTCCAGATACTATTTCGTAAGTACGCTTATGACTTTTAAGTAATACCAAAATGACTATGCAACTATCTAAATCGTAAGGAAAGAAAAACAAGATAGATTGTTGACATTAGTTGATTTTGTTACGATGTGTCAGAACCAAATACGATTGACTTTTATTCTTAAAATATAGCACGTTTCTTTCTTTCTAAAACATTGAAAGTTTTACCCATGTCTTGTAACTATAACTGTGTTTGTGCTTGCATTACTATCAAATATTTTTTTTTAATATTAGTGTCGCCACGCAACATTTATTAATAATCCATACATGTTAACAAAAAAAAAAGCACTGCGGCTGCTGCGGTGTAGGATATCAAACATTCACGCTCTGATACATTTAAAAACTAATTCAACTAACTAATTCAGAGCTTACTTACAAGCATCTATATTGTTACCAATACTAATATAGAAGATGATCGATCTAGCTAAGGCCAAGGTTTATTTTAATTTGAAATGTAATCACTTTTCTGATCTGTAAAATTCAATTGTTTAATTTGATGTTTAATTGTCAGTATATTTAGTTGCTAAGCCTCGTACTCATATAGTTCCGGCGCATAATCGCCATGTATTATGTGCCTTATATGATTGAATGCTTTTTTTTTAGTTCTATTCTATAAATAATGAGTTTTGTTTGTGGATGAGATTGGAATGAGAAAAGTGGGCCTTGATCATAAATCGAAGTAAATGTGTGTAAATTATAGAACACTATTGTATATATAGATACAAAATATAATAATTGAATACTATAATATTATTTGGTATTATGGATCCCTGACATTTCAATTTTTCAACCCCATAGTCCAGAAGTATATATTGTTGAAATGCTGAATGGAGGTAATGGAGGTGATGGCGGAGATGCTGGTCCTGGGTTTGCATTGGGTGACGCAGGCGGCGATGGTGGTAACGGTGGTAATGGTGGCAACGCGGGAAGATATGGAGATGGAGGTAGGCAGATATTAACACCAGAATTCACTATGTTTTGATGAATAGGGTCTATACTTTCGATACCAACCATATAAAGTCAAACTTAGTCACATTTCATCAATACTTCACATTGTTGAAAAATTGTTATTGTATAAGTATGAAAGTACTTTAATTATTTGATTTTGGAAAGGTGCTATAGAAAAATTTATAATTTTATAAATATTTTTGTAGGATCTGGAGGTAACGGAGGTAGTGGTGGGGCTGGAGCAGCTCCTGGCGGAGCCGGTGGAACCGGAGGTGATGGTGGTAATGGTGGCGATGGTGGATTTGGTGGCAGTGGTGGTGCTGGGGGTGATGGAGGAGCAGGAGGTCCTGGTGCAGAAGGGGCACCATGCATGAATGGAGGTGCAGGCGGAGATGGAGGGAACGGTGGGAATGGAGGAGACGCTGGTATCTACGTACCCGGACACGTAACAGGAGAAATGTGCCCCGGAAAATCAAAACTCAGCCCTATCGACGCTGCTTTCAACAGATATGGGCAGAAAGTACGGATTTTCCAATCTCATAATGCTGATAAGGCATTGAATCTCTTACAAGAAATAAAGATTATTGTATGTAGGTGAGTTGAGTCTTGTTATTGTTATTTTAAATTTGGATCAAACAAATCCGAGAACACCAACACAATTCAGTGCAGAAAAAAAAAAAACTAAAAACTTCATTTACAAGATTTGAAAATGCAAATGTCAAATAATTATATTGACTGAAATACAATTAAATATTTGGATGGATTTGTTGTCTTTTAGTAACGCAAGATGTAATAGAGGTGTTGGACGATGCATCCAAAAGTACTGCTGGAGAAGAGCTGTTATTGTCAAGAGCTGTGAAAATAACTCTATATTTGGTTACCGTCTCCCTGTTCTGAAGATCGACTGGATTGCTATACCTTGCTCCTGTGAATGTTTTCAAGCCCCTTCTTTTAGAGATGTATACCTTTTAGCAGAGGAGAACCGCAGGCGAATAGAAATCTACAACTGGTAATTGGACCTTGGCTGTAGATATTATTTATAATTTGTTGTTATTGAAGAAAAACACTTAAACATTATATATATATATATATATTATATATATATATATATATTTAATGTTAAGTATGATTTAGATTTAACGAAAATCAAATTGATTTTAAAATTTTTATTATTAATATTATTATTATAGATATTATTTTACTATAAATATTATTATTATTAATATGATTATTATTTTCGTTATAATTTTCATTGATATTTTTAATGTCATTATCATTGTTATTATTATTATTATTATTATTATTATTATTATTAATATTTAATAATTTTATTTTACTGTTACTAGTAGGCCTACTATATGGGTGTTATTACTAGACCGTCGTTTTAGTGTAATGATTAACTATTATGTTGATGTTAGAATAACATAATATACCGTGATGACAAACGTTATAGAAATATAGTGTGTTTTTTAATAAAGTTAATTCGTCACCATTTACATAGCGTTTTTTTCTTTCCTCCTCGTTTTGTTTATGTTTTGGACATTTTTTGAATAATTACATAATAAAATATATTATCCTTCAAGAATGAGTTATAATTGACAGAATACGGAGTTATATTTATAATTGCTTATTTAACTTTTAGTTCTCATTTCGAATTGAAGTCCTCCCTCTTTAGTTTGCAAAAGTAGCTCGAAAAGAAGCCCATGGGCTTCGTTTCAAGATAGCATGAGTTTTTCGAGATAATACTGTACATACACTGAATTTCAAAAGCAACAAAATAAATTGAAAATTCGCTTGGTTTATACAGTAGGTTAGGTGATGTAATGTCGGTTAATACACATTTTTTTCCAGATAGTACTGTACATACACTGTACATGAATTTCAAAAGCAACAAGATAAATTAAAAATACCCTTGGTTTTAAAAGTAGTAGTAGGTGATTTAATGTCGGTTAATACATTCCATGATACAGACAGGTGTTAAAGTGGCCCTATTTAATGTTTTATAGAAGTAATTCCTAAAATTTACAGCATTCATTTTAAAAAGAAGCTCCCCGCCCTCTTTACTTTGCAAAAGTAGCCTAAAAAAGAAGCCCATCCAAACTTCGCAAAAAAAAAAAAAAAAAAAAGCAGCCCAGAGCTTCAATTCGAGTTTTTACGGTAGGGCCTGTATAGATACAGTAGCTTACATATTTTTTCATAAAAAGGCAGACTAAAACAAGAAATCAAAGTAACAATACAATTAGCAGAGGACCACGTTTTAGACCAGCTATATGTGAACGTATGGTTTGCATTATTGGCGATGGAAAGACATCGCCATTACTGTTTTGCGAAACAAGTGTTTGAAATACTTTTGATAATTATCATCCTTAATTACATGGTGCTTTATCGATTTATCAATATGTAGCCGAGATAATTTGAAAAGATATTTTTAATATTTTCGTGAAATTAATGGAATCCAATAATAAATATTAAATTACAGCTTAGAGGGGCCATTAAGGTAATGTGTTTAAACATAACTTACGTTAAATAAAATATTTAATTACAAATATCTATTCGACATTTTATAGACATTGCAGATTAATTTATACATATAAATATTTCTAAATAATTAATATGAGCAAGTATTGCTAAGATGCGATGTTGATGTTTACGACAGATAGGACCTTTACATCGTTAAGTAAAATATATTTAATCTAAAACGCAGTAGGCCCAGCTACTGAAGCAGTATTTAGCTTAATTGAGCACTCTTTACCTGAGCTAAAACGCATGGCGTGTCATCATTGAGAAGTCTGAGTAGGCTATTAACAAAAGATTACGCCTACAACTACTCCAGGCCTAATAATCTACTACAAATGAATAGAAAAGAAAGTGTAATACATACTCCAAGTATTGAAATGCACGTTATCGTGTTGGAATTCAATATTTCGACATTAATTATGTAATCATCAGGAATGATGACATAATAGAAATTGTATGTATAGGTTTTGTATATGTTTGTTTTTTTTTCTGTATATTGAATTATATCAATAATAACGATATGTTGTATGATAATATCATAATTATAGGTCATAAAAACAGCAACAGAACACTACACGTTGGTGGCCCAAAAGCCAAACTGCATAATTACATTTGCTGCGGGGATTATAAAAAAACACCCGTTAATTAAAATGGATTGTTGCGTTACAAAAGATGCTGTCTTTTGTACGCTTGCTTACGTTTATTACCGGTACTTATATTAATCCGCTTTTTTCATGAATGCTGTAGTAAGAATTATACGAAACCCCAAGGTAGGTAAAACAGATCTAGACTATAATGATATATATTCACTGTTTTCTCATGGCCTACCTCTTTAATTTTTAGGCTGTTTTAATAACGATTTTGATGTTTTATACACTTTTCATTTCTATTCACTTCCAAGAAGTAAATTCGCTAATTGAAGGCTAATTAAGAAGTGAGGTTGTTTTAATTCGTGAAGCAAACACTGCTGAGAGAGGGTTTGAACGCAGGCACTTGAGGGCAAGGATCACCACTCGCCAATGGTATTGGTCAAATATTCCATAACTTACATTATAATATACACGTAAAGTTTAGCATTACTCAAACTATAATAGCCCTGTTTCTACGACGACAAACATAACCATGGGAACAGTTAAATTACACATAACCATAATGCAAAATAACAAAGGAGGTTTAAGTTTATTTCATCAAAGATTTGTTTTTATAATTAAATTGCATAACGAATAATGAACAATGTAATATAAACCTATTACATATTTTCACCTTCTGCTACCCTCTTTAATTGAGTGCTCTTGGCCCATTTATTGAAGCTAATCTTGAAACTATAATTTATTTTCGCGAGACTCTTGTAACATATGTCTCTGAAATGAAGAAGTGATAATATAATGAGTTGAATTACGCTGTCTTTCAGTAAATGAACTAGAGATTTTCTATTATTAATATCTGTATGTAAAATCACGAAAATACTGTCGATGAACTAAACCTAAGTAAATATAAATAAAAATGTTTTTTTCGTTAAATTTTATTGGCATTATTTTTTGTTGTTCCTGTCTACAGTAATGTTATTTTAACTCAGTAGCCTCCAATTCAATCTCTATTGCCAAAGGTTACTGTTGTCGAATGTTCTTTGTTAATGAATGAATAATTTTATAATGAATAATGTTGTATATAGAATTGTAATTTTTAAATTTTTAAATGATTTTGTAATGAGTAATTTTTATAATGAATAATTTTATATATAGATTTGTATATTTGAATGTAATTCTTTTTAAGTAATTTTGTAATGAATTTATTTTGTTGTATGTCTGATTGAATAAATATATACCTGAAATAAAATGTAATAATGCTGAAAACACGAAGCCTTATGTAAAAAAAAAACTTCCATGAGTATATACTATGAAATCTATAATAGTACTGTAGTCCTTCCAGGTCAAGAGAAACCCCAAAAAATGATACACATCCTAAAATTCAAGTAAAAGTAATGCATTTATTCTGTTCAAGAAAAAATATCTTTACACTGAGTATATACATTTCTAAATTAATCACAATGGCTTACACCATCTTATATTTAATTTCATTTATTCAGTCTAAGAAAAAAAATCCTGGTCATCAACCAAGGTCACATTATAACAACGTTATAGCATTCTAGTTTAGTGTGAAACCAAAAAATCATTATTCGTGGTTAGACTTCCACAAACGCATGCTAATTATAATTAGAAATACATATTTATAACGTAATTACTGATTATTAACATTGCAAAGGCTGCTGCAACGTTGTGGTAAGGTTATTTTCTAACATAACTTAACCACAACTTCACAACATTTTGCGAAAATTATTATTTACTTGTGGTTAGACTTCCACACACGCTATGCTAATCCCCGCCAATAATTGTATTAACATATTCTCATTGACTTCTTCCTCAAAAGAGTTTCCTATCAAAGAATGTCCTTTTATGATAGACAGTTACTGCGAAACGACTAAATGAGGCACTTGAAGTTTTGAGTGGAGCTTATGCCGTACAAACAAATCAACTAACAGAGATTGGACGGAATTAATCAAGTAAGAGGGCGGTACTAGTCGCAGAAAGTCATGCTGACGCCAGACTTCAGTATGGCTCCCGCAGTAGGCCATCCATCTTGTAGAACCGACCCACCTAGCCAATTATAAACTGATAGAAACTGATAGTTAAGGTTATAACGACGAACCATGGTAAGTTATTTAACTTATTTTCAGACTTAGTTTTCACATTGAGTTTACATTAATTTCTATCACTTGAATAATGTTGTAGTAATAAAAATAAACAACCGTTTCTGTCTTAATGGAATTAGAATGGTTTATGTTTTGGCAACTACGAAATCTGAACTAAATTAAATTAGTATTATAGTAATTTATTTTATAAATATTCCAAATTTTTAAGAGTACAGTAATTCATTTACTAAATAAGGGCCTACTTTAATAACCAATTGTTTATTGTATTAAGTGTTTGTACTTCGTATCAAAAATAACAATTTAATTATCGAATATTGATATTATTAATACAATTTATGTGCTAAAAAACGTAATAACACAATGTAGTACCTTAGTTGCTTACTTTGTGAAATAATTCCGTAACTATATTCTTTGTATTGGCCCTTAAATTGGCAAGTAATTAATTTGTTTTGAATTAAATATTGCGATCATAAGTTCATAACTTATTATAGCACTTTAAATATGCAAATCAATCTAATTTACTTTTAGTTATTCGAATTTAAGCATGACCAGCATGTCTTAATAAAATCTTCAAAATTTGTATAAAATTTTAAGATTTTAGTTTATATCCAATTATTCAAGATAATGATATTACAGCCTAATGTGTATTAATTACGGCTTGCATAAAATGTATACAAGCTGTAATAAATACTAATATAATGGTAAAATGTCTATATTATTTCACAATAAATGAAGTGCTATTATTATAAATGTATGTGGGTCTTAAGCCCATAAGCATCATCTAACGTATGGATGTCTTAACTTAAAATCCAAATACAAAGCTCGAATTACGTCTTAACCAAGGATAATGAGATCACCTTATAAATCTTCAACACTCCGAGAATGATAAGTGTTGTGGATAAATGTACGCAGACGTTTCACGAATAAGTCATTGTAACATAGTTTACTCAAGGCTACTTTTTAGCATAATTAATAATAAATGTATTCCTGTAGGTTATCATTCTAAAAATGTCGAACTTTCTAGGTGGAATTTTATGGGATATTTATTGTCATAGAAAATAAACATTGCTTACATCTTACTTCAAAATAATCAATATTATATGCTATACATGTTGTAATGTCTATAAGAACACTTCTATTTTGTTTTATGTATACATCATTATGTTAGTATATTGTCATGTTTTTGCTTTATTCAGTGCAATTTACTGTTAATAGAAACGGATAATTCGAAATTATACATTTACCTACCTATCGTCTGGGACATCAAACTTTACACTGTCTTTCCATCTTCTTCTGAAAGCCTTTCTCTGTAATTTAACAAATTCTTCAAAGTTTTTCATTGCGCTCCTTGTTCCATCATTATGCGTATGTATACAAAACAAATTCCCAGTGTCAATTTGTTTTTCAGAGGGCAAATGGGATATCCCTTTGCCTGTGTTTCTTGATTGCGTCGTGTTACGTTGCAGCTGACGATCTCCATACTTGTATCTCGTGAGTATATATTGTGTTGTTTTAATTTACTATAAACTAATACTCCTGGATATCTCAAATCAAATCAAATATACTTTTATTTCCATGCATTTCAAGTAATACAATATACAGTAAGAAGTTGAGACAAATATATTGTTTGGAAGAAGGCTACAATAAGTTCTGCAATATGTTTGTACTTGGAAAACAGGCGAATAACTAATGTACACACATTTGGTTAATTTTCAGTAAACTTCAAAATCTAGGAGATGATGTCATACAACAAATCAAGGAAGATTACAAGTGTATTTTAGAGAATGAAGAGCCAGTCGAAAGCCCACAACCTGTCACGTCAGTAAAATCGATCATTAAAAATCACATAACTTTACATTTTGATCTACTTAATGTTCATCTAATCAAAAGGCAAAAATGTATTTGCTTAGGTTTGAGTTCAAGTTGGCCTGCTGTTAAATATTATGAAACATACATTGCTTTTATGCACTTTGTAATGCTATATAGCTGCTATATATCTGAAGCTCCCCAGATTTGTATTGGTTTTGCCTGTAGTATATTACAAGATTAAAGATAAAGGTAAAGGTAGGAGAATAACCCATAACTTGCAGCGTCATTGTGCTGAATTGCGTATGGGCGTGGTCTGTGACTACCTAGCAGCCGTAAAGAGGCGCTTCTTGGTAGATACATGTTCACATCATTCCACAACGACAGGGGCTGAAATGAACCATATGTACTGGTTCATATAAATTACCTGTATATATAGATTGAAACATTTTGTGCTTAAAGTAAGATACTGGAAGCTTCTAACATAGTTTATATACAAATTTTTTATACTGTTCTGCTTTTATAATGTCTGTAGATATAGAAATACTACGATCATTATAGCTTAACGTTTTCTCTCCAGACCGTATGCTTTCCATGGTGGGTTCAAAAATACGTATGTTGGTGAAGGGATTGATATCCCCACAGGTGGAGCCGGTGGTACTGGGGGTGCAGGTGGTCCTGGTGGCCCAGGAGGATCTTCAGTCACTCAAGAATTTGATGGCAGTAAGTTTTTTGTTATAATGTAACAAAATAAGCTGAATCTACTTTTATTTTGGTTTTTTAAAACGGCTATCGCTTCAAGTTTATAAGATAGATAGCTCTAATAAAATTAAGATGAACGATTTACAAATTAAGTGGACAATTCCCTACGATTTTCTCCTCAATCATACTCAAAACTTTCTGTATATACTAGATTGAAGTTTAACTTTATACATTTAAAGATAAGGTAGCTGCTAAAAAATGAGGGAAAAAAGGATTTTTTTGCTAAAGTAAATGACATCCAATGTTATACTTCCACTTTAATTTAGAATGCCGTCCTCCATTTGAGGCACATGGGGGAAAATGCTATTGCTTCGCATTGAGTCCAGCTTTGACCTTTGAAGAAGCACAGAAATCGTGTGAGAATGATAACGGCAACCTGGTTGTTGTGACTGATCCAGACATTGGGCAGTTCATAAAGGACAGAGCAAGGGAGTTATATGCTGGCGACCTCTGGATTGGACTATCAGATAGACAAAGAGAGCGTACCTTTGAATGGGTAAATGGAGAAAATCCAACTTTTTACGATTTCGCAACAAATGGTCGTAATGGCGGGAGTTCACAGAACTGCGTTCGTTTAAGATCGGTTGATGATTATAGATGGAATGACTTTTCCTGTGATCGAAAACTAGGATACATTTGCCAAAAGACTCGTAAGTAGGAATCAAAGTTTATGTCATTCTAGTTTAAAAGTAAATAATGTATTCATTAAAGACTATACTTAATTACATTTATTTTTACTTAGCATCTGAAGACCAGCCGTTAAACCCACCCACGGAAAATGAAGTAGTAGTTGGCTTTTATTATTGCCCACCGGGTGATCAAGGTCCAAATGGAAGCCCTGGTGTTCCTGGATTGCCAGGGTTTGGGCCTGAACCAATTCCGGTTATGCCGTTTCGAAACTCTGGCATAGCTTGTCCAGCCCGGAGGGCTAAACTCTTGGTTACGACAGCTTATAATAAATACGGTGACAAAGTTCAGGTTTTGCAAATAGGATCCAAAATTCGACAATCGTTCCAAATTAATGCATGTGTGTAAGTATCAAATTTCGTGTTTTTTGTTGTTGTTTTGTGAGCGTGGTGATCATAATAGTGACAAAAGCTGATCGCTCGGACAAATCAATCACTAAGAAACAAAATATTACACAGTCGAGATTTACGAATACAATTTATGTAATAAGGCACATACTTTACAATGCATGTGACATGTAACATGCATAAGCATAAAATGTACTAGAGTTTGAACTACTTTTATTTATAATGGCATAAATTATCTAAAAATTTATTATAACTGTACACTTACGTTATTGTTGCATCTGCATTTGCTTAAAATTGAATTGTTGCATACAGTAATATAGAAAAATGTGGATAATAAACTTTTTTATGATTTGCTTTACTAAGGTTCAAATTTTGCAACTTCGGATTTGGTCAGTGCCAACAGAAGTATACATGGCGACGAGCAGTTACTGTGGAATCCTGTGACACAACCTCAAAACCTGTCCTTGCAGTGCAATGGGTGACGGTACCTAGCAGCTGTGTGTGTTCATTGGTGCCCCTTAACCTTTCACCTTTAGGATTAGAAAAACTGATAGGCCTTGTAGAGGGCCCATAACACACGTGTATTTAGTAAATTGGAAACCTTTATTACATTTAGACTCTGGGTTTTAGCTCAAAGAATTTATAGAATATTTTTTCTTTTTCTATTTTACTTATATAATCAAGAGAATAATTCATTATATGAAAAATATTACCATCTAGGCTAATAACAAATGATAAATAAGCATAATACTTTTATATTATAATCACTATATGTTATTTAACTATGTAATTATTATTGAAATCGTTTATTGAATAAAACGTCACTGTGTAATTAAAAATACAATATATAGTTAATTTGATAATGTATTAATTGACTTTATTTAGGCCTAACTGTATTTTACTTGAAGTTGATATAATCTTGTTTGCTGGCCGTTACCTTCAATAGAAAAAAAGAGAGTTATTAAAAATGGAAAATCATAAAGAAAGCATAATTTTAGTGATTATGTAAATAATAATAAATATTGCAATGAATACAGTAATTATAATAATAACAGTAATGCTACTTAAACCTATGAGGTGTATGGTATTATTTGAAGAGTAATATAAAGTTTAAACGTTTAAACTACCTATTATGCGGTGTCAGCAACACGGTCACATGACTGCTATTTCAATATAGTTAAATACTGATGGTAAATATTTTATTAATGACATAGAATGTAGAGAGTCATAAGCAAGTTCAATTTCTTTGTGTATACTGGAAGTTAAATATGGCAATCTAGTATTATTAAAAATGCTTCGAAATAAAATTGAACTAAATCAATATTATGCTAGTTTTCACTACAATCGTTGTCGGCGATGGCGTGTAGGCTTTATAAGATTACTCGAATAATTTGACTATTTACATCATTAGTACATTATTAGTAATTATTATATTTTTGACTTACCAAAGCGGTCTCAATCCTTTGTAGGATTACTTTAAATCCGGGTCTTTCTGATGGTTTCCAATGACAACACTGACCGATCAACACAAACCTTTTGTAATAAAATTCAGGAAAGGATAGTGTGAATACTTTAACTACCGTAGTTTTCTTTCAAAGCTTATTGCAGTAGTACCGCAATCTATACATCAGATGTATACTTATTAATCTAAACCTTACATGTCTTGAGTTGACGGATACTTGCAAAGTTCTGGTTGGGTCTTGAAAACCTCTTTTTCGGCCTGGCTGCTGTCTTTGTCGATGTTTAGAGTTTTGACAACGTCTTTGTCTGACAGACCTTCAAACGGATCTTTGCCTAAATTAAAACAGAATTGTGTTTTTTTGATCAATTTTACAACATTATTTATGCTTCTGTTATTTTTTCGTGGATTATTTTCTGATTTGAAACAAATACCTGATAATATATACACAAAATAATCAATTCAGAGTTTTTTAGCTCATCATACGCAATTAATCTTTAAAAACTGATTTTCTTATCTGTTCTATAAACTTCCTCAATACTTAATTTCTTGACCAGAATATAGCACTAGATACCGGTATGTTCCGTCTGTAATACCAACTAACGTAAATATCATTAAGGCCTACCAAATGAAAATATTTCGTAAAGTGTCGCTCCGAACGCCCATATATCAGATTGAATAGATACAACCTTGTCCTTAACAACTTCTGGAGCAAACCAGCTTGGTCGAACCATCTCGCCAAGCTAAATTAGTCAAAAGAAACCAGTGAGTTAATATTTTTGTTCTATGATATACATGTTTCAGATTAATTATATCCATATTGAGAAAAAAATTAATTGTTATTATTATAAATTTTATGATTGGACATACATATTTTACTCATTGTTCATTTTCATAATGTGCACTGAGACAAGTCGTATGGCTGTACTATAGTTTAAAACCAAGCAAACATTGTGTTGGCGAACCGCCCGAGTTCTACCTTTGGTTAGTGCTTAACGAAGCCGCCCGTCTTCCTAAAGCCTGTTTTCCACTAAACGAATTTATTAGCGCGAATCGAAATCGTCGGTACATGCGCATGTGCATCCACATTTCTATCGGAGTTTTTGCGAAGCGAAATTGGTAGTTCGAACTGTTTCTACATTGTGCTCAACCAATCAGAGCTCATGAACCGAACCGACGCCTTCGATTCGAGCGAATAAAATCGCCTAGTGGAAAACAGGCTTATGGGCCGTTCTCCACTTTGATGGATTTGTTCACGCGAATCGAAAATTTGTACTCTTACGCATGCGCATTTGAGAATCTCGTGATAAAAATTTAACTGCACATGCGTACAGGTGAAAATTTTCGATTCGCGCGAATAGATTCGTCTAGCGAAAACCTTTCCAAACCTAAGCATTGACCAATCAGAGCAAGGAGAGTAATACACGTTTCCCACACAGACGCACGTGTTACGTCCACGATATCGTTTTGTGGAACCTTGTCAACAGCAAAGGAGCGGGTATGACAGGAAAGGTTCATTGTCAGTGGGAGTCTAATTGGAGTTTTGGAAACGATTACGTTTTTTGATACACTTCATGCATACCTGGTCTAGGTCATAAACGTTGTCACTAGTTCCCAGTTTTTTTAGTCCAAAGTTGCTGATCTTACAAACGCCATTGCTGAAAATAAGGACTTTACTAGCTTTCAGATGAGGCTGCAGAAACTGAAATTGGAGACGTTTTTATTAAATATTGTGTGTGCAAACAAAATGAAGAAGTCGAAAGTATTTGAATTGATATCTTTCTATAATGTGGTTCTCTTTTAAGGATGTAGTATTGATGTTATTTTTGTACCCAAAGTTTACTAATTATAGATAAACAGGCGGTATGAAACTATAAGGACAGGACATATCACCGGCAATGGTTCGTAATTTGCATACGCGACAATAGACCTTTCCAGAGCATCAATCAAACTTAACAACTGACCAATCAGAAGATCACAAAGAATACGCGTCTGTCCCACAAACACCGTATGTCCCATAAACGCACGGGTCTACGTACGTTTACTCTACATTTTGTGTGGTCTTAGCAACAAAATCCAAGTTTATTGTGGAGATACAAATATACAGAAAGATTAATCCAGATTCCCATAAATAAGATAATACGTTAATAGGATAATAAATAAGATAATACGTTCGGAGAGATGTGTAGGGTTGTTAATATGTTTAGGGTTTCTATTTTCTGTTTGCATGAACTGGTACAATTGACACAGTTGTCAATTACTACACAATAAAATTAATTATTTTTATACCCAGAGTTTAACAATTATAGATAAACAGACGGTATGAAACTAAGGATAGAACAGATATTACCGGCAATGGTTCGTAATTTGCATGTGTTTGTTAAGCTATTCTCACCTTCTGTGTATGCAGGAAACGCAATCCTTTTGCGATATCTTTGACATAGGTCAGCACTTGATATATTGACTTACTATAGTCACTCACAACTGTTTTCCGCTTGTGTAATATGTCTCTCAAAGAACCTTTTGTTGCATACTCCGAAACAATTCCAATGCAATCTACATTGAAGGTACGAATGGCATAAGAATAGTATTGTTGAAAGGACAATTATCCTAATGGTAATTGGCCTAAATTGTGAGGATCTCAGTAATGACAATGTGGGCAAACGTTAAACAACTTCAGTTTACATCACTGGGCTACTAACTCGAGAGTATTTCGCATGATATTGCGGTCTGTCAGCGTCCGAAGAGCCTTCAGTGTATGATAATAACCCCTGCTAACATCGATAGCAATGTGGCCTGCCAACGCCAGAGTCATGATAATGGGGCCAGTTAATGTAGAGAATATTAGATATTGGCAACGAAGCTTGTTTGTTTATTTGTTTGTTTAATATTCCACACACATCAAATCATATACAGTTAAACATCTGTCTCTTATACACATCTAAAGAAACCAGTGAGTTAATATTTTTGTTCTATGATATACATGTTTCAGATTAATTATATCCATATTGAGAAAAAAATTAATTGTTATTATTATAATTGATGATTGGACATACATATTTTACTCATTGTTCATTTTCATAATGTGCACTAAGACAAGTCGTATGGCTGTACTATAGTTTAAAACCAAGCAAACATAGAAAATAATGATAATAATAATAATAATAATAATAATAATAATAATAATAGTAAATAAATGCATAAATCGATAAATCAATAATGAATAAAAATATAATATATAGAATGGAATACTATGCAAGTAGGCGATTCAAGATCCAAGATTCAAGATGGGATTACGTTGAAAATGAAAATGGGGCCTACCATCGTTCCGTGAGATGAGCATAATGACGCATGCAATGAATGGATCTCTGGATGGAATATCGTGTTTTCAAAAACAACCAAATATACTTTGCTTGGAAATCGCAAGTATGATGTACTAATATCAAAAATATTGACTAAATAGTCTTCCCACCTACCAGTTTGCACGTTAGAGATGACAGCTAAGGTGTTTATGACGTTCTGGTGTAGAGTGAGGTTCTGAAGCCCATCGATTTCTCGCCTCAGACATGCCATTTGGCTTCGTGTAAAATCATCTAAAATACAGGAAAATAAAGATTTATTGTTTTAGAGATATGGGTATAATTCCCGAGTTGTTGTCAACTAAGATAATGTGGTATCAGGGACAAAATAACGTGAGTAAATAATTATGTAAGCAGTAAGTATTTTGCTGCAAATAATATTATGCTTAAAAAAAACATATTAATATAATGATGTTGGTAGTACTCACCGCGACTGACTTTGACTACAACGTCTTGCACCCTAGTACTCCCAGGCAACAGAACTGTTCCTTTGCATAAACTAACTCCACGATCTTTACCGATTTCCTCGCCCATGTCTACATCACTTGGTGATATGGTTGGAGTTATTGGCTGTAACGGCAAAAAAAAGGACTTTTACCTTTTTATTCTTATGATGATTATACATTAAAATTATATTTTATTGACAATTTAAATATGGTATTCTTTAATGGCGATTGCACAAGAATACTTATAATAATATAATAATTGTAATATTGAATATTAATAACATATTTTAATAATAATATAATTAAGTCAATTCTTTTTAATTTTTGACGAATATACAGAATTATAACAATAATAATAATAATATCGTTCATTATTATTAGTAGTAGTAGTAGTAGTAGCAGCAGTAGTAGTAGTAGTAGTAGTAGTAGTAGTAGTAGTAGTAGTAGTAGTAGTAGGCCTAGTAGTAGCAGTAGTAGTAGTGGTAGTAGTAGTATTAGTAGTATTATGACGATCTGCGCAGGTATTAAGTTAAGTTTGTTCACTTTTGTTATTTTGTTTTATTTTTATATCTGAACGGTTTTGTATTTCGATCTGCGCAGGTATTAAGTTAAGTTTGTTCACTTTTGTTATTTTGTTTTATTGTTATATCTGCCCTCGCCAAAAGATTTAACGTATTTAGGCATAGACCTATATTTGACTTAGACCACTTACCGTCACATAGTTGTATTCGTGTGGTAACTGTGAAAATAACAAAATAATGTTAGAGTTATCATGAATCTATTAATACATCAAAACAGCAATTTTTTTCTCAAATAGGAAGATGGAGTGAACCACCTCCATTCTCTGATGCCCCCTTCCCCACCACTGGCGCCACCACTGTGGGGAATATATTATGAATTACCTGAGTAGCGTAACTTGCAGGTTCTGGTACTTCATAGCGAATTTTATTACTTTTGGTCCGTGATAAAGTATTCTCGTCAGAGATCATCTGAAAAAAATAAGATCTATATTTAAAAAGTAGTATTATAAGCTATCTACAGAAGTTTCAATAAACAGTGATCACAATCAGTGTATTAATACTTGTTTGAGTATTGATATATTTGTAATCAGTGCTCGATCTAAACTTTTTTATTTATTTATCTCTTTACGTATTAAAAATTAAAAATTCGACAAAACTGTCCAAGAAGAAACCATTGGCCTAGGGCCCAACACAAAAGTGGGAACGGAACCCCTTGACATATAATATAATACAATGTACAATATGTAAAATTAGTACGGAACACCGCACGAAACTTTTGTTTACAAGCATCTCTTTCGAGAATCCGCTTGCTGTAAATAATGTATAGAAAAGTGTGTTATCTTTAATAAATCTATGACCTTCTCTTTTACACGGCAGTAGTGCTTTGTCAGTAGATATTGTGACGTCAGATAGGTTGAAAATAAAAAAAGTGATTTAATCACTACAGCACTTAAATTTACAACTAAAGAAAATGCTTTTTCTATAATTAACAACAGTGGATTTTGATTATACTATATTACATTGGAAGCAAAAAACGTAAAGTAAAGAGTTTTACCTCGTATTCTTCTGGCAATCCAGGCTAGAAACAAAAATATAGAAACCTCATAATATTTAAAGATACCTTAAACTCTAGTCAGAACGATACGTTACTTCAGATTGACAACATGTCACACACCGTATCGACGTTTTAATCAAGCTATTTTTCATAATGTTAATACAATAATAAATAAGAGGTTTGAAATGGTAGACAGAAACAAGTAAATTTGTCGTGTAAGGTTTTACGTTGGGATTTCCAAAACTCCCTTTTATTATAATAATTCTTTGCTTTTGAACCAACACCAACATTAAAAGCGTTTTGCTTGTGTTATTAAGATAGAATCGCTGCCCCAAGGCATGTAACCACAATCGATTTTATATGAAAACATGAAATTAAACGCATTCTACTAACGCAAATGCAAGTGGTTGACGCGGTCTGACGTAGGCACAATATGCAGCATAACCTTTTCGTAAGATGTCACTGATGAGACGCTGCTTGCGTTTGCGACAATGGGCCTTTCCGGAACAGTCAAACTTAACAACTGACATATTAGAACATCACAAAGATTACACGTCTGTCCCACAAACACGTGTGTGTCCCATAAACACACGTACAGTACGTTTATGCTATACTTTGTAGGGCCTTGAACCGCGCTGGCCAGGTGGTGTAAACCAAGCTTCAGAAATTCTCTCCACGTGGCGCACTAAACGTTTGTAGTGTTTTAGGACTCACTATCTTTTTGAAGAATTTTATAGAATAGAAACCGTAGACAGGGATATCTTTTTATGTGTCTAGTATATCATAGGCTTATTGGGCATTTACACATCGATAGCAGACAAGTGTTTTGGAACCTACGTTTGTATACGACCGATCACCGGGTGGTGTAGCTGGTGTGCTCTAAGTTAAAATAAAAAAGTAAGATGATTAATGATGATGAATTAGAAGTTACGATAGTATATTCATGTGCCTATTTTATTACATTCTCATCGACATCAATTGTATAAAATTTACAAAAAAATATTAAATATTCCATTAATTAATCTGTAAACATTTTTTCATATGTTCTTGCTAACAAATTAATAAAAATAGTATTTTAGCAGCTAATTAAATTTAAGACTGACGAAGTTAATTTTTTCTGTTGAGTATACTACTGTAAGCATTACAATATATAAAACATATTTTTAAAGCAATCTTGTGTAGGCCTAAATTCTGTCTGGGTAATTTTCTCACGTATACGTGTGGACTCTTCGGTGGTCGACGCATTATATACACTCCCACACAGCCGAGTATACAAAGTACCAATGCACCTACACCGGCAATCACATACCACAATATATTTGAGTCCGATTTAGCTGAAATGTTAAAGATTAAAACGCATAGTGATGTTCACCTTTGATTATCAATTCAAATGAACGACTAACACATACACAAACATATGTATCACATATATATATATATATATATATGCATATATA